ATGTTGTAGCACAAGATAATTAGTGTGCGGACCATTTTCATTTATATAGTGCTCTGTGAACAAAAATTAGTTAGCATAAATCAGTTAAATGACGAAAAATTGGGTGTCTATTTACTTGTGACCACTCTGTGTATGTGCATGGACACAAGTTCTACATTACGATAATGTTTACTATTTTCTTTTATGATTTAACTGTATATCTAATTGAAAATTGAGGTTTTAGTGTTACAACAAATAACTGATTACTAACTATCGCTAAACATTTACCTTACGTTACAGGTACAGCAAGGACGATACTAAAGTATTCGTCTACTGTTCTTTTTTTGGGAATTAATACATATATTGTACTATTCTTTAAAGTTACAACATCATTATTGTACTATTCTTTAAAGTTACAATAACATATATTGTAATATTCTTTAAAGTTACAACATCATTACTGTACTATTCTTTAATGTTACAACATCATTATTGTACTATTATTTAAAGTTACAACATCATTATTGTACTATACTTTAAAGCTACAATAACATATATTGTACTATTCTTTCAAGTTACAACATCATTACTGAACTATTCTTTAAAGCTACAATAACATATATTGTACTATTCTTTAAAGTTACAACATCACTATTGTACTATTCTTTAAAGCTACAACATCATTATTGTACTATTCTTTAAATTTACAACATCATTATTGTACTATTCTTTAAAGCTACAATAACATATATTGTACTATTCTTTAAAGTTACAACATCATTATTGAACTATTCTTTAAAGTTACAACATCATTATTGAACTATTCTTTAAAGCTACAACATCATTATTGAACTATTCTTTAAAGCTACAATAACATATATTGTACTATTCTTTAAAGTTACAACATCATTATTGAACTATTCTTTAAAGCTATAACATCATTATTGTACTATTATTTAAAGTTACAACATCATTATTGAACTATTCTTTAAAGCTACAATAACATATATTGTACTATTCTTTAAAGTTACAACATCATTATTGAACTATTCTTTAAAGCTACAATAACATATATT